CTTCCCCTTCCCCTACCACGATTCCTCCAGCCTCTCCCTCTTCCACCACTTCTTATGTCGTTTAATCCTTCAAAAGCTCTGTTAACAAGTTGGTTTTGTACACCACCTGCCCCTCGACCCTTCTTTGCTGCATTTGTTCCCGACCCATTAGCTGAATTCGCACTTCGTTTTTTACTGCAAATTTATAAATATAGAGTTCGTAACCACAAAAGTAATGATTGATATGAAAAGTACTGGTAAAAATGGAAATGTTTTTTATTATTATTATTATTATTATTATTATTATTATTATTATTATTACCCTGGGGCAGTAACAACACCAGAAGTTGGTGCTGCTTTAGGTACAACACCAGAAGTTGGTGCTGATTTAGGTACTTCTCGCCAAGATAAGTTGATTTTTTTCTGGTCCCCAATAAATGAAGGCGCTTTTGAATGCAAAGGCTGCACGAAGACCGTTGTTTGTATTAACGACCAATATAAGATGATATAAAGAATAAATATGGAATAGAGCCCTGTCATTGTAGGGAGATGAAAAAGATGAACTATGTAGAATAATTCTCACTAGAAGTTCTTGTCATATTAAACCACAAAATTTTCAGATAAAGCTTAATCCAACATCAATAAATTTCTCACAAAACTATCTTCTAGAAAGTTCTACTTTTCAGGAAAAAGAAACATTTACCTGGGTCATTGCAAGTATATTGTTGCAGGTCCGAAGACCTGCTGTAGCTTTTTGCTTCTGCTGCTTCTGCAGGGCACACCCGAAAAAATGACAGAACAAAGAAATTAAATTAACCCAACTGAATCAACGAAAAGTAAGGTCCATAAACCAGAACAAAATAAATGAGTGAAATGTGGCTATCAGTATAACTGAATGTTAGCAAGCAAAAACCCACAATTGTTTCTTTTTCCTCTTCCGTCTTCGCAGCTGCCACTGCTTTATTGTGCTCGGCCATCCCCTGGGTCAATTTCTTATTCATTGCTTTTGCTAATTCCTCGATGGTGCTCAATCTATGCCATCAGAAAAAAACTAACATCAACACTCTGAAGTTTCACAACAAACCCAGAAGGTTTAAGTAAAATTAACATTAAGTAGGAACTATCATGTCTATAACAAGCAAAGTATGTGTAGGATAGTGAAGAAGGTTCATAATACTAGTTCATAAATTCCATGCTTAAATTCAGTTCCAGAAGTACGCTTAAATTCAGTTCCAGAAGTACCTCTCTGTAAAATCTTTATATTGTTCTGAAAAATCTTCCCCAAGCCTGTCTGAAGGTTGCCCGGTGACGATCTTGTAGCCACAAAGGCTATTAGTGGCATTGGGAGTCTACAAATGTAACAGTAAGTGACAGTTCCATGCTACAAGATATAAATTTCACAACATAATTATTACCTTGTGAGCTAAATGATGAAATGCATACAGCAAGCACTCAATACATGTGAAATTTATCTCTTCAATTTTTCTCCGGACCATGTATTTCTGCAAGAAGAAGACAGCACATAAGGAAGGATCAACACTGGTATCTAACGTAAATGGAAGATTGGAACAATATGGATGATACCAGGTACACAAATAAGCATCAGTTTTTGTAATGTTGCCAGTTATCATAATAGGATCAGAATTAGTATAAGCAGCAGAATCATGTTATTGAATGCATAATGGACCACAAGGAACTAAGAAGGCGAGTATGCATCACTATCTAATAATGGTGCCCTTTCATTTACTGTGAAAGAAGAGGTACCTTTAAAAGTTGAACAATGGATGGAAGAAGTTGTCTTGAATCTTGTGGTTTAGTATATGGAGAACATTCAGCAAGGTTCTTGAGCAAGTCCAGTTTTCGTTCTTCAGGTAGCTAATGAGGAAGAGAAAACACCATAAATTCAAAGTAAAGGAGTACAGGGAATCATATACAAGTGGTATGATGAAATGCCTCTAGGTCGTAACTTCCCAGTTATCCAACAGAAGTGAATCTCTTTCAATAATTTCAAATGACACTCATCTTTTTCAATTATGTTAAATAAAGTTGAATCGATCTTCAACAAAAAGTTTAAATGAGCTTTTGGCCAGGCAAGAGGTTAGATGAGTAAAACATTCTTCACTAACACAGACATTTCTCATTTATTATTACACCTAACCAAGCTTCCACCAAAGGCAAGGTTCAATTGAACTGAGTGATTCCATCCTGATAGTAAGTGCTGGAACAAAATAAACAATTAGATTCATAAAATGAGGAGGGTTGGAAAGGGGTGGAAGATATAGAACTTGAGGGAAGGTTTGACTAACTATAATAGAGAACAAATACAAAAGCTAAAATGGCAGCACCAGCAGATGCTTGTCCGGGGTAGAAAGATACAAGGATGAACAATGCATTGTAAGGCAATAATAAAATGACAGAAAAATTGATCAGGTGTTGCCAGATAAAAGCTTCAAATCTAACTAATCATAAAGAAACTAGCCAGCAAAACACCTGGAACATTACCTTGTCAAAAACAGGGATAATTTGCTTCGTCAGATAATTGAAGAACTTACTGCATGATGCACCCTTCTGTAATGACATAGATGTTTGTAGTCAACATGAGGTCAGAATATTAAAATCATCAAATAATAAAGTAGTGCATACCATGAAAAAGGGAAGCGCCATTTGTAGGCAGGATATAAATCGATCAATGTGATCACTGTCTGAAACCTGTTGATCCCACACATAAAAGATCAACAAAGAAAAATTAAATTATGCTTCCAAGTAGTTCTCATCTATAACACAGACCACCATTTGCAGGGAATTGTGCACAAATATAAGACAAGACAACAGCCATTGCAACTATATTTGTCATAGATTTTGCAACAAAGAAAAGAAAATATAAAACCGGAAACAGTATAAATGCTGAATTTATGTCGGGAACTAATACAAGGAAATGACAGGCATCATGATTATGAAGTCCATGACAAGACTACCGTCCCTATAGAGCAGTCTAAACTGAGACCAATTCTTTTAGAGAGCCAGAAAGCATTAACTCAAGCAAACAAGAACAAGAGTATTATTCAGCAACAATAGTGACAAAGTTTTCATTCAACTTCCAAAAAAAATCAAAGAAAAGAACACTATATCAATAAGGTTAAACAGACTTGCCCTTAAATAAAGACCACAAAAGAAATATAACAACCATGCAACCAAAGAAAGCCGATAAATCTCACTTGCCAATGATTAACATACATTAAATTGAGCATCGAGATCAGCCTGGCCTTCAATAATCTCAACAAGCTCTTGAACTCGTTCAACGGGAGCATTCTGCCCAAATAAGCTCAAGTTTTTTAAGAAGTCCATGAACAATTTAAACTCTGCAGCTGTCACATCTTGCAAGTCCTGGAGAAGAAACATATAAGCAAAACATTAGTAGATCAGTTAAGTGGCAATAGACATCATTAATCTTGGCGAGGAGAAGAAAGCCATCTAGAAAGAATATTAGATAACACAACAAGACAAAGTGGTCTCGAGAGAATATAAGATAACAGAAAAAGATTGAAGTCAGCTAAAAATGCAGCACCTGTTTCACCAAATTAGTGATATGCCTCTCCATTTCATCTTTCGGCTTCAACAACTCAGCTTTAAGAGGAAACACCTGAAATATGGAGTCTTCATGATTTCCAACAGTAATTTTTTTTTTTAAGAACAAAATTCATTCTCATAATCAGCAAATTCTTTACCTTATCTCTAATAAAACACATAACTCTTTCCCGAATGCCCTCCCAAGCACTGAGATCCTCTGCATTTCGATCATCAGTGCTGCCAATGTGCTTAAATAAAGCTGTTAATGAAGCTGCAGTACACACATACAATAACTTAAGATTACATACCATGAATACAACCCACATTGTAAAATGCACAAATAAATTCTAACCAGGCAATCCAAGCATCAGCCTATGTGAATGATAGTGGGATTTCCCGATATCCATAACACAGACGTGTTGAAAAGGTATTAATGAGAAAGCTCTTACTATGACCTTACGCCGACAGACGAGTACAAAAATAAGTCAGATTGTGCTTCAGATAGAATAAAGATAACTGGCAGATTCTCTCCTCAGCTATCCCAGATGTTAGAAAGATCATGAGGCGTGATGTACTGCATATTAAATGAATTCCACACAAATTTTCAACAGAAAAGTCCAGGGCCCCATAGCTAGAAGGGGAATATTAGAAGAAACACAAATTTTTATCTTCAACATATGTCCTGGTCCATAGAACACATGTTTACCAACAACCAGATCATCGCATACAATGGCATTCAATTACATTTGAGAAAACTCCTCTTCATTGTCATTCCTATCCGACTTCTCACATCAGGACTCCCAAAGATTGCATGCATTATGACAAAGAGGACCCATACTTTCCAGCAAAGAAGCAGATAAAAGGATCCACTTCTCAACAGTTCATCACCCACGAAGTAGCATTATAAAGATTCTCCTACCACCTGCCACCTCATGACCAATATGCCAGATGTCAACTTCCTCCAAGGCTTTTCACTTTCCAGTGGCAAGCCCCACCATCAACAAACTACGTCCCCTTAACGAGCATAGCACAGAAGCTCATAGTTTGCCAGAAATGAAAACCCCTGCACCGTGCAAGTAACCAATTCCAGAAACCTTTGGTAGATATTACCATACATCAGTGTGGATAAATCCTATTAAAAATAATCAGTACTACGTGACACCACATCTTGCTTTTTTTTTTATTACTTTATGCACCAACCCTCTAAGAAGTTCCTATCCTTCTTAGTTGAGTAAATGGAGACCATAGATGACAAATGATACAAATATAGAAGTTTCTATAACGGCCAATGCAAAAAGAAACCAATGACACCTTTCCTCTTCCATGAAGAAATTCATCTTTAGAATAGGACCTTATCCAGAAAATCACAAATCTAAGAAGCTCTAAAGGACAATAATCCTAACTTGCAAAGGACATGATACAACTGATAAGCAACCCTAGGAAGAACCACAAGGCACATGGTATCACTTAACACGCACCAGACAGTCTATCTGCCAGGATGACACTGTGACGAATTTACAAGTCACCAATCAAGATGCCAACTGATGATGACCTATGCACCAGGATGATATGCTGGTGATGATCTGCAATCCAGGAACTGCTTCCTTACAGAGTCTGCTCTCACTTAAAGGATTTTCTCAGTATTCATAACACAAAAAGGATTGTCGTTAACTGGGGTAATGACGTAGAACCACTTTCGGCACAAATGTTGTGAGTTGTGCTTGAAATGTTGAGGTGTACTAGGCGGAAACAAATGTTCCAAATCCAGAGGGTGCCAGCCAGTGTAAGGCAAAGGGCACAGATAAGTATGCGTCTTGGTTAGAATCACTTCAAACAGAGAATAATTCTGCAATACCCATTGGTCTTCTCTATTACGAAAAGCACAAACAACAAATTGCCAGAATGTAGCAACAAATCTGAAGGTACAAATCAATAAATTTCCATGATCTTTTGTGACATAACCTAGTACTCTACATTTAATATTCTAATGATCATAAACACCATTACTGCTGATTGTGACCAAAGCTAAATTGACTGTATAAGAATTTAAAATTTTTAATAAATATGTTCAGACCAAGATTCTTAAACAAAAATATCTTCAGGCTTCCGACTTTTAAGAAAACTAAGTTTTTATCCGTGCTGATGTAAAGTTTGGACAGTTTCAGCAACTAGCTAAAATGTAATGACAGAAATAGAAATGATAAAATTTCCAAAGTATACTTATAGTCGGAACTTACTCTTGACATCCTGCCGCAACAAAGTCATAAGGGCTTTATGCACTGCATCACGCTCCACATTATCTCCTAATCATGACCACAACAATAATAATTAGTATAAAAAAGACAGGTTAATAACCTATTAAGAACCCAATAGAGATTTCAAACGTTAAAGTACCAGCAATTAGGAGTTGACCAAGGATGTCAACAATTTTCACCAGATGTTCAGGTGTATCCTTGCAGAATAGAGGAAGCCCGCGAATAGCTTGTACGCGGACCTATAGCAATCAATAAAGAACAAACAACCAACAAAATCTTTTAGACATGTGAGTCCGTGACTACACACAATACACATGGGATGCCTTGAGAATAAGTAATATTAACAAAAACCAAGCATATACTCTTATTGTTTTCTCTCAACCAATAAAGCAGAAATTTGGTCACAGTGACAATTTCAGCATGCTAGGCTCTTTACTCTGTGCTGGGCATACATAACATACAGTACACATGAAATATCTGAAGATTACTGTATGGAGTATGAGAATATGGTTCCTGTTAATTGTAATCCAAGAAGAATATCAAAAGGAACCTATAGTTATGCAGGTTTAGCAAGCCAGCCATGCCTGTAAACACATCATATCCACTAATCAATTATAGAGTAGGGAAAGAGAGTTCAGTTCCGTGAGCTAATCCAGCCATGCCTAGTTCACCTTAGCGAGGCAAACCACATTAACCTTTCAATCTAATATAAAAAGTTAGCCATCTGAATTCAGCAAGAAAATAGTTTTTCTTCTAAATCGCCCTAAAGGTACAATAATGGACAAACGCCTAACCAAATGCTTCTAAGCGACCATAAATCACTCACCCCAAGCTCCTCATCCTCGCACAAAGAGATATGCTGGTCTAAGGCTTGCTCAGCAAGCTCAGGGAAATGCTTGAAAAACTTTGGTATCATCTGTGCTGCCAACTGCTTTGCCTTCACGCTGCCATTTGCCGCAGCGATTATCCCCTCGTAATCCTTCCGACCCTGCTCCTCAAAATCCAACACACAGAAGACGATGAATTTAGGAAAATAACAAACTAAAGAGAGGACAAATAGGTGAAATGAACCTCGGAAATCCCGTGAAACAATCAATTAACCTGGGATTTATCTTTGGCTTCGTTGAGCTTTTCTCCGTACTCGTACAGCTTCTCGATGTCCCGGGAATCATCCATAGCCTCCGCCATGGTTCAATTGGATATCAGAATACAGTGAAGCTCAATGTCACTCAAAAAATGTCTGATTGTGTGAGAGAATCAGAGAAGTGGATTAGGATTTTGGAAAAGTTACAGTAGCTTGAGAATGTTTTTTTAATACTTTAGTATTCTTTTTTTCTTTTTGTCAAATATTTTTTTTTTTTTTGGAGATTCGGGGAACCGAACCCTAGAAAGAAAAATGGCCAAGTTGTTTAGGGGGTGATTGATATGAATTTAATTAGTTAAAAATTAGTCTTTTTTTTAATTATATTTAAGTTTAAAAAAAAGTAGTATGGTTAGTTATTAGTAGATATCTTAAAATAATATTTAAATTAAAATAATTAAAATTGTTTGATGTAAAAGTAGAAGAAAATGATTAGAAGTGATGGTTAGAAATTATGTGAGTAGGTGAATAGTGAATTAAAGTTGATGTGATGTGTAATAATGATTGGTTGATATTATTTAATTATATTCATAATATTGGAGATAGTGGAGTTGAGTTAAATTTAAGTTTTGAGTGAGATATTTACTGTACAAATTATATACAATCACGCCCTTAATAGCTTTCTCACTTTTAATGCTAATTAGTAATTAAAATTAATTTTGCTACCAACATTTCATCCGCCGGTCAATTTTGGTCTCAACGATTTTTTCGTCAAATGTTAACAAGCTGCAACGTGGGTTAAGCTGTCGGAAATAGCATAAAATGGTCGGGAAATGAACAAAACATTCAAAGAAAACAAAAAACAAAATTGTTGAAATTGGAGCTTTAATTAGAGATAAATTTGAACTCGAAAAGTAAAACTAGTCAGGGGCGGATCTACATGTAAATTGGGGGAGGCCATTGTCCCCCCAAATATTTTTTTTTTCTACTAAGTATATACTAGTACAACACCCATGTATTATATGGGTGGAGACGATGCCTCATCCCAGATCGTTCATGACCGATTCATAAAAGTGAGATCGGTATCCGGACAAGTCAAATCCAGAACCGTCTTGGACCGCGCCCATAAATAATCAATATATTTATAGATAATCCGAATCTAAATATTTTTAGATTATAAGTAAATTAAATCTATCTAAGCCTAATAACGAAGCATATAATTTTGCCACGTAGGATCCCGAAACATGCAAGTCTGCCACATAGGCTCAGCACGTTCTGAATTAATATATATATATATATATATATATATATATATATATATGGGGGATATATATAATTATATTTTTATATTAATCCACAATTTAAACAAATAAGTTTAAACTTTGATAATCAATAGCCTTAGCTAAAGATAGAGAATTAAAAGAAAAGTATTAGTAGAAGAATCTGCACAACTATTCTAATTCGCTTTTTTGTACTAGTCCATGTACTAATTATTATAAACACTAATTAGATCTCGTAAATCTTCTATAAATATGCTTGTATATAACTTATACGAGGAGTAAATTTAATATACAGAGCACTTAAGATATGCAATTTAATGTGGTAGAAATATATGATATATACTTATAGAAAATTCAAACATGAGATTTTTCTGTATTTTTATAATTTACAAGATCGAGTCAACTATTAATATGTTCCATATTTTGAGAAAATTACACTAACTCTAATTGCTAGCAAAGTTGGAAGTACATATTTTTTTTATTATATTGAACATGTCATATTTTCTAAAAGTATATTATTTACCGCCTCCTTCACTCAATTTTTCTAGATCCGCCCTGAAACTAGTAAAGTTTTAATGCGGCATGAACAAACACAAGAACTCTTATTGACAATTGAAAGACACTTTTGATTTCTAATATAAGTATTTTAAATACATACATTGCATTAAAATTATACAATGAATCTTTTATAGCATTCGAAAAAAAAATTGTGTGCATTATTTTATAATCCATCGACAAGCAGCTGTGATAGATATGGTGGAGAATGGTGAACCACGTTGCAATGGGTGGTTATCGGTACCGTCAATGAATTGATGTTTTCGGCATACAAAGATGGGAGAAATGATGATTTAACTATGTTTTTTATATTTGATTGTAGCAGCTTAGTTAGACTAAAATTAATTAAAGAATAAAACATTAAGTATTAAAATTAGTAAAGTGAAAATACAGGTAACAAAAGCAAAATTTATCACTCACTTGGCTTGCTTGTATACAAATCATATTGAATTTTGATTGAATTTTTGGTTAATGAGAGTTAATTATAAAAAAGTTGGTTGAATTATATTTGATTGAGATTTTGAGTATATATTAAAATAATATTTAAAATAAAATGGTGAAAGCTGATTTGATATAAAAGTATGAGAAAAGTTATTAAAATTGATCTGTAGCTAAAATTATGTGAATGGTTGAGTAGTTGTTCGCTAATTATTTTCGTATCCGCAAGTGTACGGAGTAGTTATAGGTAGTGGCGAGCAAGGTCGTATTCCACAGAGATTGTAGTTAAATTAGTTAAGTACCAAAATAATGACGATTAAATATTATCTAGACTAGTGAATTGAATGATGATTTTAAACTAAGAATTAAACTAAAAAACTAATTTATCTAAAAAAGTAAAAATTTAACAAAATACAAATGATAGATTCTAGGCTAAGCGTTCCTCGGAATTAATTCATGAATCGTTTATATTCAAACAAACCTTATTTAATTTTACCAATCGTAGAAATAATCGCTAAATTGATTTCAAATCTTTCTCTCGAACAAGTCAAATCGTAAATTTTAATTGTTATCTATCTCCTCTCGGTCTCAAGATGAACAACTAACTCCCATAAGTTCATAAGATTTTCATTCTCTCGCAAGTCCTATCAACCTCTCGGTCTGTTTATTCTCTTACGTTATAAATTTCCCAATTCTAACAATCAATTATTTCCTATCGGTCTCAAATCGATCACAAATATGCATTCATAGTGGCCATCTACTCACACAATAATAATAAGCAAAAGAAATTCATAAACGAAAGATAAACCGGAATGAAAGCAGTAAAACCTAAATCATAAATCAATTCGAGTACTAACAAATCCAAGAATCTAAATTAAATCTAGCTTAGAAACATGCTTTCGAAATAAGAAAAATAAATATAAAACATTGAGTTAGAAAAGAAAAGGAAAGAAAAAGCTTATTCGGCTCCGTCGATTATTTCTTCCCGGGTTTCTCCCTCGTCTTGCTCGTGTTTCTAGCTTCCAAAGGTCTCCAAAGATCTAAAATTATGTCCAAGACTCCCCAAAAACATGTCCAAGTGTTATATAAATAGTTGGGGTCTAGTCCTAGTCGAAATAGGTCGAAACACCCGAAAAAATAAGAAAAACGCGTCAAATCCAATTCTGTTGCATCCAGGGCCACATGAGTCGTGTGACAATGTCGAGAGCTCAATTCACGACCCGTCGGAACGACACGAGCCGTGTCTCGGGCTCACACGACCTGTGTTGACCTGGGCACCAAAAATAGCTCGAAATCTTCACTTTTAGCTTATATAGATGCTCCTTGTCGGTTTTCCGGTATCCCAGTTGACTCCGCGTGGTCTTAATACGTTCAGTTGGTGCGCCGGCGATTTCCGTCCATTTTCCAGTCACTTCCGGCGGCTTTTGACAGCAGCTTTTCCGGCACGCCTTTGACGTCCAAGCTTCTTCTCCGAAGACGGGCTGGCAACGACGGCCATCAACGTGGTCTCCGGTGGCTAGGTAGTGGCGCGGTGGCTGGCTGCGAAGCTTCTGGCGGTCTTTCATGGCGGACGTACGCTGGTGCGTGAATTAGTGAAGAAGAAAGCCATCTCTCCTAGAGAAATTACAACTATACCCTCCATTAATGAGGTTTGGGCCACAATGTTTGGGCTGAAATTATTAGCTTTGATGGACTAGCTATGCAGCCCAACAGACAATAAAATGGGCTAACTCACTTCTCAAAATATGGGCCTTATAATCCCAATGCACTATCAGTATACCGCCTTCCACCCTTTTTTTTTGCTGTTTTTGACTCTAATAATTATTTCGGCCCTATTTTCTGTTAAAACCTAAATAAAACACTTTATTATAGCTTGATAAAATTAATTAAATACATAATTAATTATATAATAATTAATTAAATAATAACTAATTATATATCAAACTACGATGAAACAGACACGAAAATCACTATAAAATGCACGTAAGTATGACGCATGTCAATAATGAATTAAAGTTGATATAAAGTGTGAGTAAGTGAATAGTGAATTAAAATTGATATAATGTGTGATTATTGGTATTATTTAATTATATTAATAATATTAAAATAATTAAATTGAGTTAAAGAGTTAAATTTTGAGTTAAAAAATGCGATCAATTTTTTTCCGTAATTAATTATTGCATTTAGAGCTGTCAATTTGGCTCACGACCTGCTGCCCGCCCCGCCCCACAAAAGGAGCGGGTTGGACCAAGATTTCCACCGGGCCTAAATGGGCCAGCTTGCGCGGGCTGCCGTCCAGGACGGGCTAGCCCGCGGGCTGGCCCGCCATATTTTAAAAAAAATAGATATATTATATATATTATTAATTATTAATATATGTTAATGTGATATTAAATTACTCATTACTCGTTCGGAGTCGTTCTCCTCCATATCTTTACGCCCAAAAATCGCACCTCTCCTCCTAACCCTAGCATCATCCGTCGCACCTCTCCGACCTCCGCCCAGTCTTCCGCCTCTAGTCTCCTCCGCCGGCCTCCACCTTCGAGACCCATCAAAGTGCAGCTCCTCCGCCTCGAAGTTCAGCTCGAAGTTCTCCTACATCACACCATTTTCACCGTCTCCGATTTCTTGAGTCTATTTCCGGTCAGTCTCGAAGGTATATTGCTCTCCGGTCATGAAATTTTGCTGAAATTGGACATTAATATAATATAATGTTTATGAAGATAAGCTGAATTGGGGAAACTTTAATGATTCTGGTTTCCATGAAATGTATGAGGATTGAGGGGTTTTTTATTATTCAGCACTTTTTTCTTTTTTTAATAGAGAATTGGGCCGCTGCCCGTTCCAAATTTCCAACCCAACATTAAGTTTTTAATTTAAAGTCTATATTCCAACCCAGCAGCCCATTATAACTTATAATAATAAAAAAAAAAACCGGGCTGGCCCGCGGAGCCCGCAGCCCGTGGTGGGGGCGGGTTGGGCCGGAGCCGGCCTTCCCCGCCCTGCCGAAAGGCGGGCTTCGGCGGGTTACGGGCCGGCCCGCACCGCCGGCCCGTTTTGACAGCTTTGCATCCATTGGCTTCGATGGGGCTGCAATGCAATACTATTCCTGAGACGCAAGGAGTAAATATGAGAAGTCGAAAACTCTAGGGGCAATATGTAAAATTCAACCTGAAATCCGTTGCGGTTTATTCCAAGGGTTCTCCATCTCAAGTGGCGGCAATTTTTTCCTCGCCCCGCCGCTCCCCTCCGTCGTGAGCTTGCGTGATTACCAGATGGCCCTCAACGTCGACGGAGAGTCGCTGCCAAAGACTGAAAACGAGAATCAAGGATCCGAAGAGCCGACGAAGATCAACCAAAAATCTCTGAGGAAGTGCCGTCGGTCGGAGGACCGCGAAGCTCGACGGAGAGAGAAGAAAATTAGAGGGACATTGTTGGCTGCCAGTTTTCCGAGCTATTGCCTAAGGCAAGGCATCGGGGATTTGCAGTGCTTTGGCGAAAAACACCGTTCCCAGCACCGGAAGAGGCTGTGGCGGCTCCTTTACAAGCTCCTCCTGCGGCACAGTTGGGCAGAGGCGGGCGGCGTGTTGAGTGTCTTGCTCCAGGCTACTGCTGCCGACAGATCCCCCTCCGTAAACCGAGCCAAGTATTCGGTATAGAGTCATTCAGTTATATGTTTGGTGGGATATGAGTGTTATGTTGACAGTTTTTTTTTTTTCTTTTATTCTTTTTGTTTCGTAACAAAAATTTATGCAGGCTGCATTGGAGCTGCTTGTTAAAATAAAAGACAAAACTGTGAGCTCGAGGAGAATACAAAGTGTCTATGAGCTATGGATGAAAAAGCTTGGATCATTGCATTTTAACTGGTCAACAATTATCTCCCAAGTATGATCTTGTAGACGGACTTGCTATTTGAATTTTTGTCTTTTCTTAGAGATCTCCATGCCTTCACGCTATTTAGAGTTGAACTGTAGAGGACTAGTCCATATTCATCTCCAGCTATGAGATTTTATTTATATAAGTTTTCGTAATCATGATACAACAACTAACAACAAAATATTCTTTGAGTTAAGTTATCACACAACAATTGGGAATTAAGTTTAAAGCTACTTTAAAAAGATTAAGTCAAAATAATATATAATAATTATTGGAAAATATAAATAGTGAAAATGCCAAACATAATAGAAATGAACAAAATATTAAAAGGAAACGGGAAAGAGAAAAGAATTGTGTTTTGCACAAGTAGCTATGTCTTCTCAATTTTGAGTGAATTAGAGGAAAGGGGTTTAATTATTTCCACCCCATTTTCAGGGATTCTGCTATTTGGTGTGGGCTTAAAGGAGTTTGCTTATTAAATCTTGAGCTTCTCCTACCGTGTTGTTTAATTTGGGTTATTGGATGTCGTGAAGTTGTTCTTAGTAATTGTTTAAGAGCAAAGCAAATTGATAAGATCGATAATTCTATGTTCAGTTGGTCTGAATCTGCTTCAGAAGTTTTGATGTGTTTATGTAAATTCTTGATGGAAATTTTGATATTCCGAAAGATAATTTAATATGACTATATTGAACTCCTTATGACAGGAGAAATTTGCAGTGGGATGTGAATTCACTCTTAATTGTTTACAACGTGGGAATATAGAGGATGCATATCAAACTGCTCTTTGGTAAGCTTATAAGTTTCGTATGCCGTATGGGTTGAAAATCAATAGCATACCTCTCCAACTGGTATGGGAACTAGAAATAGTTATCCATAACTTATATAAATATACTTAAATTGATGTTTAACAACTCTCTGATCTTAAACGCTTCACACCTTTTTTTTAAACTTCCATTCACTCTTGCTTGGCATCCACTTTACTGTTTCCTACTATTTCTGACTTACACTGTTGATCAGTGCCATGCAGGAGAAATGTTTTGATGGTCACCCTCTTGCAAATTTGGTGGTTGGCTTGACATTTTATGAGTTGTGGTATTCTGATGTTCCTAAGGAGTTACAGATGACAAAGGTGGACTCATCTGGCACATACGTTTACCCAGAAGTTCCTGGTGATGGCATTGGAATGCGAATGGATTTTAGCAAGGGTAATGATGCTCTAGAAGCAGAAGAATCCAATTCTGGCTCACAGTGCGATTTGAACACCTCAGTGGCCTTTGATAAAGTAGTTGAAAACAGCGAGAGCCAGCAGATAGGACCAATGGACATTGATGATAATGTGAAGAAGGAAACTTCTTATGCCAGTTCTCAATCATGTAAGTCGGGCATGGAGTCAGCCAAGGCAGGAGGAGATAGCGAGCATTCCTTATCTCACTATAGTGGTGACCTTCCCAGTGTCTCTATCTTCTACACCAGAGGTTTGTGTCATAGCACGTTCTTCTCTTCATTTATTCATGAAATACTTGAATCTGTATTGTTCTCTGGCTACAGTGTTGTCTTTAATGATTATCGTTTGATAAATAGCGACTTTTTGCTAGTTCATGTTGATCTTTCAACTATGTGGTCGGAGAAGTTACACATTGACTGTTCAGCAAATGCAGAAAGAATTAGCAATGATGAACTTATTTGATTATTATTAAACCAATGAGCTCAAACACTTTAAATTAAGCTGGATTCCTGCCTAAAATAGTCCACAATCTCCTCGTCAAATTATTTTAGATTTTGGAGACTCAAAATTTTCTTGCCCCCATGCTCCTTTGAGTTTATGACGTTTATGCTATTCTAAAAATAACGAATATCAGTCCTTGTTATAATATGCTTTCTCTGCAATCTGTAAAGTTATCTTAACTAGTTATTTAGCATTGAACTATATAGTTACATGCTTCTTCAATTTGTATACTTGTTGCCTCATAATTAAGTATCTGTCCTTATCATGGTGATGTAGATTGTTCACACTTAACATTCACCATATCTATAGCTATATACATTAAAAGTAGTTAAATGTGTGAAACTTAGCTTGGTATTTGTGCCTTTCCGACTTGCAGATTATGCAGCTGTGACCTCTGCATTAAGTATAAATTATTTTATGATTAGGCTGGTATAATTTAAAATGACTATTTACTTTGTCGAGTTAGTAAACTTTATGTATGATGATACATTCCGCTGTATTCTATGAGATGGGTCCATAAAGTTTTGTGTATGCCGGCTCTTGATATTGTATAAATGTATAGACCTTCCGCCCTGGCTGTTGCCTATCAAACTGCAGAGTTCTCATGAAAACTTGGAGGATGCCTTGTACACTCACAGAAAATTGCATAACAACCACTACAAGAGTGCATTGAAGCATTTACATGTTGCTCTTAACTCAACACCACCAGTTGTTGAGGCGCTCCATCCACGGATACAGGTACTGACTAATACTTGTGTTATGATTATCTGTATCATTTTATTATGACAGTGACTAGTGAGCATAATTTTTTTTTGTAGTTGGCGCACTACAACTACAACTCATTTAAGGAAATAATTTCAAATGACTCCACTACAACTCATAATAGGAGCTATAGATTCTAAGTTCAGTATAGAATGATCTTATTCATGTAACCTCAATATTGACGTGATCCTCAACTTTTAAAGTTATTATGCGATCCCTTTTGTATCGTGAAGCTCAAACCGCTTAAATGTGGAAAGAAAGTCGTGTGGATAAGTTTTTGGTCATTATATGATTGTTAATTGTTAATGCAGAAGCAAGTGGGAACGGTGCCCTAAAATTTAAATATGTGGTGTTGAGCGATGGTGTTGATAAAAAATATAAAACCGAGAGAATGAGAGTTATGATTGTGCTTGCCACCGCTTATCCAGTGGACATGATCGAAACTATTTTAAAATGGTATATATTTTGTGTTAATGGGAAAACATTTCTTGTAAGTTGCATTGTCATGTGTGGTATATATTTTGGCTTTTTCATATTGTCAAAGAGTTGAACAACGAAAAAGTATATTTTGGTTTTTTCATGTTGTCAAAGAGTTGAACGACGAAAAATAGATGGCTAGTGCCTGATCGAATTGATCAGGTCGTGTGGAGTAGAATGCTTTTGTGCACTATAATTCTCTTATATTGCATATATATACTTTTGGTGATGTCTCATTCACTATGTTGAACTTTTAAGGGAACTGATGAGGATGAAAGAATGATAAAAATACAAAAGGGACAACTGACAGTAATGTGCACCTGCAATCCCATACATACCATATGCTTTGCCAAACACCAAACTTTATTCATTTTGTATGAAGCCATGTCATCTGAAAACCATCGTATTTTTAATGTTGACAGATGCTACTTCTTGGAGATCAGGTCCAGGAGGCCATTGATGAACTTGAAACTTTATCTCATAGCTCGGACTCGGTACTCCTACTCAGGTATCTCTAGTTCTATCAATCTTAATTGTGACCCATTTTGCCAGCAACATAGGTAATGTTTCCCATTATATCTGATACAAGCCTTAACGGTGCTAACTGCTAACATTTAGTACTGGTCCAAAATATTATTCCCGAATTAGTGCAGTGGCATAATGGTGCCCATATATGTTTGATGTGGTAATCATCAACAACTCTTTGGATGATAGTATATGACTCTACCTTCGCCTCTTAAGTTATTTGCTCTCTTTTCTATAAATGTTACATCTGGAGACTTTTCTAAGTTTGCATTAAATAGTAAAGGTCTAATCTAGTTGTAGTCACGTTTTGTTATTGTGAAATGTTATTGCGAAACTTTCATAACGTCCTGTATATGTCTACGCTGGTGCATTTAAGGAATATAATTCTTCTAATGCAGACTGAAAGCAAGTATCTTGGAGCATTTTGATAGTGGCAATTTTGTCAAAATTTATACTTGCTATGAAGACATCTTGAAGAAGGACCCAGCATGCAGTGACTCCTTGGCAAGACTTATATTAATGCATAGCGGAGGTATCTATCAGTCCCTACTGATCTCTTTCTGAGAAAAAAGCTTATTGTTAATGCTTGCTTAATTTATCTAAAAGATTCTTCTTATTAAGTTAATATTGGTTATTGGATTACCTCCAATTGTTAGATACGTGTGTCCAGTATCTGACCCGTATAAAACTGCTTACCTGAATTAATATATCAGCTCTGTGCATCTTGTTTCCCACCTTGTCTACGGGTTTGAATTCTTCTTCAAATTTCAACCCATGGTCTTTTATTTATTTAGTTTTTCCATTTCTCAATGTTATGCTTATCGAACAAAGTTTTTCTGTTTCTGAAAACCGTCCATTTGAATGGTTACTACCTTTAGCAGACTTGAGATGTGAACTAAAAGGCAGATTTTCTTCTTGATCCATCCTTCCCGTCCAGAGTAAAATAAATAAGAATTTAGCCAAGGTTTAGTTCTGCTGCTGCTTACAAATGTAAATCAGGATTATTTTTTCTATCTATAATACTTTTTTTTTTTTTTTGGGCTTGAATCCAGGAGATTATGACACTCAGAGTTTGGTGGAGATGATAGCCTTGCACTTGGAGGCCACATACGGATCATGCGATACGTGGCGCGAATTAGCATCTTGCTTTTTGAGACTTTCTCAATGTCAAGAAGACAGGATTTCCACCTGTGGTGTTAGCAGTGATGGGCACGTTCAAGGGCGTCTAGGACATTCTAACACGAATCCAGAGTTATTTACTCACGGTGAATCTGGAAAAACCTGGAGATTTCGTGCCAAGTGGTGGTTGAGCCGCCACTTTAACGATAGAATCCTGATGTCAGATATTTCATCAGGTAATCAAATTCCCAGTTATGTCTGAATTGATAGTTTTTCGTAAGTTCTTGCTTGATAACATGAGATTAATTTACGGAAACAATTTTTACTGAATCCTCTGTTCCCATTGTTCCAATTATTATTATTGTTATTTGAAACACTGTTGTTTAAGCGCAGCTACTTGTTTTTGTCAAGAAACCCTATACTATATTTCTTTACTTTTCCGTGACAAATTCATTACCCAACATTGGTCGATATTAACTTATTAACATAGAAACATAGCATATATACGAGTATGTTCTTGTGATTGATTGTCTCTGGTGTTTTGTTTTGTGGTCACAGGTGATTTGAAGCTTTTGACATTCAAAGCAGCCGTGGCTTCACATATTTACGGACGACATTTTAGATATGTTGTGAAGGCGAGTGAGTGTATAGAGAAGGAAAATGAAAAGGAACTGTATTCTTTACTACAGATGAACATTCTTAATTCTGTTGGGTTTTATTCTGCAGCAAGGAATATTTGATAATGTGTTTTGCAGTTTGTTTGAAAAATCCTTCCTACCACAGCACCAGTGAACTACACTTCCCTGGTCACTTGCTCAAATACAAAATCGTCCAGCAAAATTTATGTTTATAAAAAATTATCCACCGATGTTTTCAAACTCGGCTTGGTAACGACCCAGACTGCCCTCTGGATCACTGGCCGGTTCACATAAACGAGAGTTTATTTTAAGTATCTTAGAAAATATGTTGGCAGGGTTTACTGTGTACGCTTAAGCTTTCGTGCACCCATTTTTTTTTTTTTTTTTATTTAACTTACAGAAACGGAAACGGAGAACACAAGCGGTAGTACAACTATGTTCAGTTTTGTACTACCAACAAATAAATAAGAAAAAACGCCCATTTTAATGAATTCTCATAAGTCATAATGTGGCCATGCAATGTATAATCCATTGCAGTAATTTTCACAGATTATATCCAAGGTAAAGAGAATTAACAATTATTTCTTAGTTTGAATTATTTAAATGTTTAGATTACACTTGAGAAAAAGATGATGAATGTTAGAGCAGAAAGATAGTATGAATTTTTCCTAGACTTTTTTTATCTATAATATTATGCCAAATCAATCAAATACGAAAGATGGAGGAGTCATGTTGATATCCCCGTGGTGCTATCATGATTACTGTAGTTGTGATAATACTTGTTTCAATCAGTTGATTGTTGGTTGTAAAATGTTTATTTTAAGTTATTTAATTTTAATTATTTGCTGTTTGGAAAAAAAAAATAATCAGATATATAAATATTCAAAGTCAATTACGTGTCTAAAAAGAAGAAAGAAATAAAAACTAGACTAGAAGGCTCGTTGGCCACACAAACTATTTTACAACTAAATTTGCTTCTACTTCCTAATGGTCGTTCTTGCGTATTTGTGGGTCTACTCTAATTTTTCATTTTTCCTTTTTCTTTTCTTTCAAGATATATCAAATAGGTTTTTTTACACTGTCATAAATAATTTTGTATGGATAAATAAATAATTTTGTATGGATAGCCTTAAGAGCATCCATATTGTTGGTATTTAATCTGTTCTATTATTCATGTGACTAAAACCAATTTGCATGATTGTTATAACAAAGATAGAAAGGGTAAAGTGAGATAGGTTGTTAGACCATTTCTAACTCTTATCTCTATTTTATATATTNTTATGAGTTGATTTAACATAAAAAATAATAATTTAATTATATACATTACTTTACAAACATATAAATACATATTATTTTATCTTATTTTTCTCATTTCAGTTTTAGCTATATAATTCTTATTCAATAATATAGAGATTTTTTTCATATAAATAACGGTGCATGAAAAGTAAAAGAAAAAAATAAAATAAAAACAATGAATGGAGAAAAATATTTTTCCACCCGTCTTTTTCTTGCAGTAGCCAACCAATATGATTTTTACATTTGATGCAAATAAAATCAAATGTAGAAAAGTACCCCAAGTATTCCTTTGGAGTGAAAATAACTGAACCAAAAGATGGGCAAGAATAAGTTCACCACATTCCTGCTATACATATTGCAAGGACACCCCAAGAGCCAGTCCCTCTTATCTTATCATCATCAGTAAAATTCTAAGTAATGATGATGAGTGCATCAAAACATCCTATTCTTGCATCTATTTTTTCACTCCTCATTTTCTTGTCCTTGAGACCACTCTACACAATCTCTTGCCCTGAAATCGAAAACCAATCACTTCTAACATTCAAGCAATCTCTGCAGGACCCTTCAAACCTGTTGTCTTCGTGGGATGCCAAAGTCAATTGTTGCTCGTGGAAGGGTGTTGTTTGCAGCAACATAATTGGCCATGTCGTTGAGCTTCATCTTCGAGGTGATTTAAGTGGCGAACTAAATCCTTCTTTGCTCAACTTAATTCATCTCAAATATCTTGACTTGAGCCAAAACACATTTGGAGAAAATCTCCCTTCCTTCATAGGATCATTCACTAGACTCGAGCACCTGAATCTATCGTCCGCTGGATTCTACGGAAAGATTCCCCATAGTATTGGAAATCTTTCGAATTTGCATACTCTAAGTTTGGATAATGCAGGCCCGTATGCACTAAATGTCGACAATCTTGAATGGTTGTCAGGGCTTTCTAAACTGGAGTATCTCAACATGAATAGTGTGAACCTGAGCAGAGCAAACAATTGGCCACAACAGGTGATCATCCCACTCCCTTCTTTAGTTGAGTTGCATTTAAGTGGTTGTAGTCTTAGTTTCACATCTCCTGTAAATGATGTTTATAATATCAGCCATTCTAATCTAGTTACTCTTGACCTATCCTCAAACAACTTTGATGACCAATCTCATTCCATCATCCCTTCCTGGATTTTTCAACTCAGCAATCTTATCCATCTTGATATGTACTACAATTCATTCAAAGGCCCAATTGCAACTGTGACAAATGCCACAAAACTCCAACACATTGATCTCTCTATCAATTACTTCAGTACCATTCCAGAGTGGCTCTACTCCTACAAAAACCTCAAGTACGTCAATATGGGAACCAATAATCTAAAAGATGGATTTTCCAGTTCAATAGGAAATCTGACTTTTCTCAATACCCTCGATTTAAGTTGGAACAACCTTTCCGGTAAAATACCAAGAGAAATTGCAACCCTGTGCAATATCCAGACCTTGCAGTTAACTGATAATAAGTTGGTAGGAGAGATAAATGATTCATTTGGAAATATGTCAGATTGTTTCTTAGGATCTTTGGAATACTTATATCTGTCAGGAAATCAACTCTCTGGTCATATGACTCGTCAATTCGGAGAACTTGGACGCCTTCAGACCCTCGATCTTAGCGAAAACTCATTGTCCGGTGTAATTCCAGATGAAATAGGGAACTTGTTTTCCCTTGAAGAATTATGGTTGAGCCATAACAAATTGACGGGAAACTTACCCGAGAGTATTGGGAGACTTGTGAACTTGACACGTCTTTCTATAGAAGGTAACATGTTGGAAGGAGTTGTGACTGAAACCCACTTTGCCAATCTCTCGAATTTCATGTTCCTGGAAGCTTCTGGAAACCACTTGACTCTAAAAGTCAACCCCAATTGGATTCCACCATTCGAACTATATACGCTTCGCCTAGGCTCTTGGGACTTGGGATCTGGCTCTCGGATTCCATCATGGCTTGAGACACAAAAAAAGAGACTCTCCATTCTTGATTTGTCATGTACTGAAATCTATGGAGACATTCCCAGTTGGTTATGGAGAATGAATTTTCTCAACCTTTCGCATAACCAACTCAACTCTAAGATTCCAGTCATCAGTGACCCTGTAGATGATTATGGTAGCTCTAACCAGTTTTTCTACTTGAGCTTCAACAGGTTTAGTGGTCCATTGCCTCGACTAAAGAAAAATGCAACCGACTTAGATCTCTCCAATAACTCATTCTCGGGAGATTTGTCAGAGTTTCTCTGCAACACAGCACCTAATGCACTGCAATATCTTAATCTTGGGGGAAACAATCTATCTGGAGAGTTGCCGGCCGAATGTTTTGTGAAATGGAAATCACTGAAAGTGTTGAATTTATGCAACAATAACTTGTATGGAAGAATACCGGATTCCATAGGATATCTTACACGTTTAGAGTCCTTGAATCTGTACAACAACAATTTCTATGGCCACGTACCTTCTTCACTGCAAAACTGCGTGCAACTAGTGAATATCAACGTTGCTGATAACAATCTTGGTGGGGACATACCGAAATGGATTGACGCGAGATTTTACCAGCTAAGAATTCTCATTTTGCGCTCAAACAATTTCATCGGTGAAATTACTGCATCTATGTGCCAACAAAGCTCTCTTCAAATCTTGGATCTCTCTCACAACAGGCTTTCGGGGAGAATACCTAGCTGCCTCAACAATCTTACCGCGATGACCAGAAGAATAATTTTGGATAGAGTATATTCGGTTCATTATTCAAAATACAGTACAATATTTCAAGAAAGCGCATCGATTTCCACAAAGGGAAAGGAACTCTCCTACAGCACAACTCTCTTTATGGTTACCAATTTAGACCTTTCTGTGAACAATCTATCCGGTGAAATCCCGAGGGAAATAACAAGTCTAGTTGAACTCAGGTCACTGGACTTGTCCCGAAATCGGTTAACAGGATGGATCCCAGACAAAATTGGATTCATGAAGCAACTTGAATCTCTTGATCTGTCAATGAACTCGCTGTCGGGAAAGGTTCCAGGTAGCATGTCAGATATGAATTTTCTGAATTACATGAATCTGTCGTTCAACCACTTAACAGGGAGAATCCCAGAAAGCACCCAAATTGGGAGCTTCAACGAGTCGAGCTTCATCGGCAACAATCTTTGTGGCCTTCCATTGAAGATTTCTTGCGAAAATGACGGTAGTTTTGTGGAGAAACAAGGCCAAGAAGGCGATAAGGCAGAGGAGATTGATTGGTTTTATGTATTCCTATCTTTAGGATACGCTGTTGGTCTTTCAGCTGTTCTGACTACTTTGTTTTTGAAGAAGAAATGGAGAGGAGCGTATTATGCGTTCTTTCACCAAGTGTGGGAGAGTGTTTATGTGTACTTGATTATCAGATGGAGAAGGCTCATGAGAGTGTTGGGTCAAAATTCGTGAGAGTCCCATTCCTCGAGAGGATTTTATGCTTTAATTTCTTGCTTGTATTTTGATTTTCGGTGTCCTTACTCCTTACTAATATACTGTTAGGTTTGTTATGTATGTTTGGTGTCTTCATCGTCGTCGTCTTCTTATTGATATAGTTGTCCGAATTTGAAGATCTTCTGTACTTATAAAGAACATTTGCTTTTGAAATTTACTTGTACTTATCGTAAATAATATATGAGTTTTAAACATAAAAATATGAAGCATACACCTTAAAACTTGACATATGTCAAACCTGAACCAAATCATTCACTAAACAAAAACATGAGAATTACAAACAACACAACTGCATGCAACCGATTCAGTTGATCAAACTTGACCATACATCCTAGTAAGGGTGGAAAAAATTACAAAAACACAACTGGATGGAACATATATGTTAAACCTTGAACAATTTAAATCCAAATACATTAGGTCTTTGTCATAAACTATCATATATTAAATTTAAAAGTGGATTGCAAAAATCCTTCATTATTGAATGTTAATATAATTAAATGATTAGAAAACAATTATTTTATTTTCTATGTGAGGCATTATTTTGAAAATAAATTAAATCAATATACTTTTCCTATCCCAAATTTTGATAACCAACGAGTCAAATTTTATTAGAAAAATTATTAATTATAGATCAAATTCAAATTTAAAATATTTGAAAACCAGCCTTTATGATGAAAATCTTTCACAAGACTTGGAGAGAATATTTATTTAAAGATGATATATTTTCAAATAAAAATAAATTGAAAGATATTTTTAACATAATATCTATCAGTTTAATAATAATACTACGACACGTCGACACCAATGCTCGAAGACGACAAAGTTTCAATGCTTTTTGGTATTACACATGTATTGATGAAAATTTACAACTAAATTCAAAATATGTCGTATGGAATTGTTGTTTGTGATTTATGGGATTTGTATTTGAAATTATGGGATATGAACTCATGGATAATGTGTGTCTTAGTAATACTTCATCAACAATTGAATTTTTTCTGTATTTAAAAATATTATTTAAAATCTTTAATATGATGAAGTATTGATGAATTTTGGATTTTTTTAAAGCATATAAAAATTAAAATATAACTAGGTAGTCATTCATAAAAATAAGATAATTAGGAATCTCCGGAAATTCGAACTGAACCAAACTGAATCGAATCATTCCGATAGTCCCGAATACGGAACCGAGCCTAACCGAAAAAACCGTCCTGATTTTTTTGAAACGGTTCCGAAATCGAATTTAGTGACCTCCGAATCTTGGTATGGTTCAGAGATGTGCTCACCCCTAATTTTGACAGTAAAAAACTTAAATTGGATCAAAATGTTCGAACCAAATCGAATCGAATCGTTCCGATAGTCCCGAATACGGAACCGAGCCTAACCGAAAAAACCATCCTGATTTTTTTGAAACGGTTCCGGATATCGAATTTAGTGACCTCTAAATCTTAGTATGGTTCGGAGATGTGCTCACCCCTAATTTTGACGGTAAAAAACTTAAATTGGATCAAAATGTTCGAACCAAACCGAATCGAATCGTTCCGATAGTCCCGAATACGGAACCGAGCCTAACCGAAAAAACTGTCCTGGTTTTTTTGAAACGATTCCGGATATCGAATTTAGTGACCTCTGAATTTTGGTACGGTTCGGAGATGTGCTCACCCCTAATTTTGACGGTAAAAAAACTTAAATTGGATCAAAATTTTAAATTATGTATTCAATACGTCATATAGCACTCCTGTAGGACCATTTTTATTCGATTGATAAAGCGAAGGGACCAAAAAATGCGTTAAAGTAAAAATTATAAGCCCGAAGGCAAGCTCTTGTTTTAGTATCAGGGCCTCAGCCTTCGTCTACAGCTGTACCGTTCAATTGCTCCGAGCCTCCGACTAGTATTTTCGTATTTGAAGATTCAGATACATAACTGACGGAGGATTCCGATGGGCCGACCGCCGACCAACGGCGGCCCCTCTTTCCGCTTCAACCCTGTCGAGGTTACTAATTAAATCCTTCGTCTCCTTAACCTTGCTAGCTCCATTCTCGAATACATTAATTTTGCCCTTAATTCTGCTTTCCTGAGCTTGGAATTTTGCATAGATTGGTTTCTTCGACCTTTTTTTCACTTTCATTTTTCTTCTGTAAAATTTTTAGGTTTGCAGACTATTAAGAATAAATGTTTCATAAGCCTTTTCCTTTTTTGTTCCTGGTGCGAATTACACAGGCTTAGATTTATGAATGCTGTTGTTTGAAAGTATTGTTGTTCGTCTTTTCCCTAGAGCAAAGAATTTTCCGGGATATGTACGGAGTGTTTCCGAGCTGTGCTATTGGGTTACTATTATTATTTTTTATTATTATTTTAATAAGTGATGTATATACTTCCACAACCAGAGTGTTGTCGAGTTGATAATTATGAGTTTGATATTGTTACTGGGAGGTCCTTTTATCGTTTTTCTTTTTAATTAAACTGAACAAATTCTGTGAAATTTTGGAAAAGTGTCTTCATGCATCTACATTAGCCTTTTATTTGTCCAAAAAAAAAAACGTCCTCTTGTTGATAATCTTATATTTACGGAAGTGCATTTGACTTTTAGTTCCAGCCAATGGGGTTCTATAGGATGCAATGAAGAAGAAACTATTTAATCCGCAATCTTGTAGAGGAATTAAAATTTTAAGGCCACTTGCAATTGATCTTTTTTTGTTTCCTGTTTCTTTTTATATTGTGCCCAAAAGTTTCTAGAGTTACTTTCACCTCATTTATAGATGGTACACTGTTTTAGACATCTACAAATTTGAGTTTCCTTGGAGGAACAATTCTTACTCACGTCCTGATGCTTTTGTTGACTTTAAGGTTGGAGAAATGGAGGCCACACTGCAAGCACATAATTATCAAGTACCATCACGTGAAATACTCGAGGCTCTTGCCCATAGGTTTAGGTAAGCAGATTTCATAATGCTGAAGATCCAATCGGTTGAGTCTTTTTGTATCAGCCTTGATTAGTTACTAAAAGTTGGCTGTTGATATTTGATAGTACCTCTACCGATAGAGCCGGAAAAGTGGAAGTTTCATCGAAACAAGTAATGAATGTTTCCCTAGTGTGTATATGCTTCTAATATCAGTGTTAATAATGACCAAATTTTGAATTATTTTCAACAGGTCTGGAACTGGTTTCAAAATAGACGATATGCTCTTAGAGCTAAGGCAGCTAAGGCTTCTGTTCCTGAGCCGGGGACTGTGGTATCTGTGCATGATCAAACTACTGTAAGAACTTTACATCAGGCCCCTACTCAACCTCAGACTCCCATTCAATCTCGGCCTCCTATTTCTCAGTCTCCTCAACCGCAGCTTGTCCCATCAAGTAATCTCAAAAAATGCATCTCATGTTAAACATGATTTTATTTTCTTTCTTTAATTTGCAATGAGGTATGCTAAGTCATTGTTTCTTCTCGATCTTCCTTTATATCGTGTTACCTGATTTGTATGGTGTTCTTTTTAAAGCGACTATGAGAAGTATGCATCGAATCCCTCAGACAGTTCCAGCTCCATCAAGTAAGCTGCCATGATTTTTTCGGTACTCTTGTGATCGTGCTTTTTTCCAATAACCTTTTTTATAAGAAAATATCGTCATCAGTAATTCAGAGAGTACTTCCCCCTATCTACTTTCTTCCTCCATCTTTCATATCTTGTGCATTAGCATTCTAGGCTTGTGCTGTAGATTTGGTGCCCCTTGGTCACAACTTCATTTATGAATTTGGAGTACAATAATGTCCGTACAAGATTATTCTATTCCTTTTTCTGCCATAGATCACTGTCAATTCTGAACTCTTCTATTTTTTATTATCATGCTTTACTTTTTCTTCTGAAATCAATAAGGTTTTCCTTTTAGTCTTTGTTTTTATTCTTTTGAAAAACATATAAATATGCCCTATGAAACATAACTATTGGTTATTGAAGTAGTAGTTCTCAAGTTGAGTAGAGCACTTGCCAGATATAATATATATCTAATATATGTCTTTGGATATATTGAGATGTTCTGGTTGTCTAGTAAATGGCTGGTTGCCTTAACTGCTGATGCAGAGCCTGCAAATCTAATATGACATACTCAATTGATTTCATTACATTTATCAATCTAGAAACATATGGTTTGCAGCATAGTCTGTTATACTGAGTCACTGACTGATCCCAGTGATTTAATTTCTTATGAACTTATGCTGCTTGATATCTTCTTCTACTAGCTTTTCAAGTTTTGTTAGATGCTGGAAAGGTATTTACTTCATCTCACCTGAAGCATTTTTTATTTTTCGCATAACTTCTCTTATTTGATATTCTTTGGGGCACCATTCTTCAATAACTGATGTCACAACTGTTAATTTTTCACCATTTTCTCATGGACGATACATGTATATTTGAGATAATTATGAAACTGTCCTTGAGTTCTGGACTAATTACTTTGAGGTTTGTATTTCTTCAAAAAATATTCCTTGTGCACTTTGTTATACAGAAATAAAAATTTAGGGGGTATTTCTAATATTGAAAGATACTGCAGATCTTTGTATGTTAGCCTCAATGATATTTTCTGCAATTAACCTTTTCAATTATTTCTTATCAGCAGCACAAATTGCAGGAAGAAGTGCATCAGAGAATGCGCAAATGGAGTTCGAAGCTAAATCTGCCAGAGATGGTGCATGGTAACTCTTTTATGGCACATTATAAGTATTTCTTAAAGTTTTTATTTACTGTAAGGGAGGCATTCTAATTTGTTGGAGAAGGGAAATAGTGATGAACAGATGTTCCCTATTTCAGGTACGATGTTGCATCTTTTCTGTCACATAGATCAGTAGAGACTGGGCATCCGGTAAGTTCTTGTTTCCTGCTGATTTGATTGTCTTATTTACTGTAATTATTAATGGGTCGCAGCTGTTCTTTATGTGCTTTTTTTCTTCTTCAGAATTCACTCAATTGTGTTTTATTGTATTTGTGACCACAGGATGCTCTTGTTCGTTTTGCTGGGTTTGGACCTGAAGAGGACGAGTGGGTCAATATTCGCAAGCATGTCAGGCAACGTTCACTCCCATGCGAATCATCCGAGTGTGTAGCAGTTTTGCCTGGAGATTTAATACTCTGCTTTCAGGTGCAACTTTATAGCAACAATAAGAACTAAAATTACTAATGAGATGATACTTTTTGCGTGATTCATGAGATTCTTATTTAGATTGATTGAACTTTTCAGGAAGGCAAAGAACAGGCTCTGTACTTTGATGCACATGTTCTTGACGCACAAAGGCGAAGACATGATGTGAGAGGCTGCCGCTGTAGGTTTCTTGTGCGGTATGATCACGATCAATCTGAGGTACAATACTAGTCATTTTATCTTTTAAGTTTTATGTTCGATGATCCACTTTGCAAGTATTATCCACTGATCAACCATAAGTCCATAAAAATAAAAAATAAAAAATAAAAGAAGAAAATAAAAAAAAAACTCTGGTATCACAAATACCCTTTGAGCTTCTGTTAATTTAACAATTATGCCCCTTATTGTGTGAAAAAAACCTCTGGCATTACAAATACCCACTTTAGTTTCTGTTCATTCAACACACACACCCCTTATTGTGTGGCTTTTTATAAAACAGGATCAAATATCATCAGGGATATATTTCTAGTTTCGGAAGATTGCCGGGATTATTTTGTGATTGACAGAACTTAGAGTAATAATTTTTTTAGTCACAACTCACAGTAAACATCACCTCTTAATAACTCTATATTCTGGTATTATCTCATGTGACCCTCCATTTTTGTTTCGGCCGGGACCCACACCTTTGGGCTGCCTTCCTCCATAGGAAATAGTTCCCCTCCGGAAGATTTGCCGCCGGCCGGAAACCGATTACAGACTGCATCAACTTCATGCAAATTCACAAAAAGCTGTTATCGATGGCCTGAAAGTAGGGAATACATTGAAAGTCGAGGCTCCTGGCTTGCCCACACCTCAAAAGCAGCTCAAGCCCGAGGAACGTATCGAAACTGGGCCCAAATTGGCCACAACACAAACTACTCCAACCAATGTCTCTGTAGGAAGTGAACCTAATAAACCTCCAATGGTTGAAATTGTCGATGCTAAGAGTGAAACTCCAATTGAAAATACAAGTGTTACACAGCCTGCTGACACTGTAGTTCCCAATCAGACTATGCAGCAGGGATAGATAGGTAAGGAGTGTATAATCAATTTCCAAGTGTTGTTGTGTTTTTTCCGTTTCTTGATAATAGAATATTTAGATTCGGCCGTTTTAAGTGGATGGTAGGTAGTAGGGATTGTGAATGGATAGTAGAAAACTCGAAACTACAGAAAAAACCCATCTTCTGTTGTGTAAGATATTTGCTCTGTCTCCGAAGATTTCTATCGAGCTTACTACTGGCATAGGTACACTACTGTACTGTGTGAGTCGGTGATGGTGTTCGTGTTTGAACTTTGAAGTAGGAATTGATTTGATAAGTCAATGTATTAAACCGAAGTAATATGTTGCCGCAGAGCACACGAAAAGGTGCTGAAAATGATGATGGCTGATAATTTTCATGTTCATTCGAGGCTTTGTATGGGAAGTGTTCGCTTACAAAAATCCTACTAGTACAACACCCATGTATTACATGGGTGGCGACGGTGCCTCGTTCATGGACGGATTCATAAAAGTGGGATGGGTATCCGGACAAGTCAAATCCAAGACCGTCCCGGCCGGCGTCCACCCTTACCATAAATAATCAACATATTATAGATAGTCCGAACCTAAATATATTTGGATTAGAAGTAAACTAAATCTACCCAAGCCTAATAACGAAACATATATTTTTGCCACATAGGATCCCGAAGCATGCGAGCCTGCCACATAAGCTCAGCACGTTCTCAATTAATATATAGGGAGGGATATATATGAGTGACTGAGTTGCACGAACAATTGGTCGCGTGAAGCAAATATGCAAATGGGACTGGTCAATGACTCAATTATAATTTATCTCAACTTGTGGTGCGTGCGTGGCCTTTTGTTCATGCACGTGCGTCGATAGCCTCGTTCTGTTTTCCCATGTGATTTTGTCATTCAACTAATCCCCACGTCCCTCGAAGTATTTGAAGAAATATGCTTTTTTATTTTATTTTAAAAAGAAAGTCATAACGGCTCTTTACATATATATTTATACTTTGTGTTATGACAAAATGTGGATTCGTTGTGGACATTCAGCTCTCACTTCTTCATGTTTTATAGGTTATTATTAGCCAAACATCATGATTAGTAATATTTAGATGCTTTGACTGATATGATATGGGTTTGTATTTGCTGTTTGAAATGAAATTTGTAGACTACTCTTGGATAAATTTTCTTCATTATTTGTGCCTTGGACGGTTCACAATTTTTTTGAAGTGAAGAATATACAGTTCATTATATCATGCAAAACAATTGTTTCGTTTTTCTATCAGAAAACAAAAATGCTGCCTTTAGACTATCTAACTGCTAGATAACTCTATTTTCTTAAGATAGATGTATATTAATATATTAAAATGTCATACTTTTTGTTCCAACATGTCTTTCACCCACTAGTTTATGTTCAATTCATTAATTATGCAATGTACCATGTTCAATTCATTTTATTATGTTCAATTCATTTTGATATGTTCAATTCATTGATCCATTAGTTTATATTCATTCACTAATTATACAATGTATGATGTTCAATTCACTAATATATACATGTATGTGTTATATTCATTCAATATAACTCTGTTGTTTTAACCATGTATATTTATGTTATATGTATCTACAATTTATAGATTTAGTCCTCAATATTTTTTTTTTCTCTACTCTTTCTACCCTTATTGAACAATTCAAACTCCACCATGTTCGAGAGATGTGCGATGAGGTATGATGATCTGACACAAACATAAATTGGCCCAAATTGAACGTACGTACAATGAAAAAAATATCATTATATGAGGATAGGGGCCACCACCAATCCCAGCCACAGATGGATTCAAATAAATATCCCAATTTTTTTTTTTTTTTTGTTGTTTTTGCATCAGCATTTTATATGACCTGGCCACGTTTATAACTGTAGGGAAATTCGAAGCACTGAAAACAGAAATTTTGCTGTAAACATTCTTTCTTTTTAATTATCGCGTGATGTATAATTTGGGTTGGACATGCATGTTTGAGAATTGTGAATCATGCATATTTTTTTTTTTTTCTTGATTTTAAAATTGATGATAATGTATTGAAGTTTAAACATGCACTTCTGCTTAAAAAAATATTGTTGAATCAATTTTGATCCAATTAACTAACTTTAACCCATCGTGCTACTTACATCAAAGGTTTCAAATTTCAATCGTGATTAGGAAATTAGGATGGGAGAACAACTTCTCAAAATTATCTAGTTAATTTAGGTTTTCTGTTTCGAAAAAAAAAAGGTAGGTTTTCTATTAGGTCACTTTAATAATTAGACAGTCATAATTTTTCAATATATATATACTTTTACACTCAAATACTATAATTTAAATTACAATATAAATAATAATATGTCATTAGAATTATAAAAAAAAATTAAAGAAAGTGCCACGGTCTAGCACCATCATTTGTGATTAAATTGTTGTAGTACCCTTGTGTAAAATACTAAAATTAAGTAAATTTAAGAGTGATTGTGAGGGGTGGGGGGTTATAAATGCTTGGCATCACGTGATACTAATGAGTAACAACTCATTATTTCTTATATTATTTTCTTAGGGATCATATTACTAACACATATCATAAAATGAATTGAACTAAACCGAATAAGTTTTGATTGATTTCATCACTGTTGATATCCGAACTGGACGAGGCATTCTCTAAGCACACGTGTCCACCACGAAAAGTAGAAAAACATAACCGTAAGACCAACCGATCAAAGGACATCTATGAACCGATCTGGCATAGTATAAGAGGTCTACACAACACATAAGAAATTGTATGTTGATCAACATATTTACCAAACTTGAAGATTCGACAACTTCAAGTGGAACTCAGTTGTACCATAATAAATAAAGTCATAAATGAAGACAAGACACTGACAAGACAACTCATCAATTGCGAAGATGAACAGAGATTGAAATGTTGTCATGTAGCCAACCTCGGTCAATTAAATGTCATACAATGATACAAATGATTACTCACAAGACGTTTACCCACCCAGGCCACATGTCACTTGAAAAAGTCACTCTGCACATGCAGACTGACCCTAACCTAATTTAGAAATTAATGTGTCATTGTAATTTACTATAAACAACACCCAATTTTTATTGAGGGACTCGGGAGCCATAATAAGCCAAAAACATTCACTTCAATTAATAACAAGAGGATAAGATTGAACTGTTTTTCTTTTCGACATATATAAATTGTCTATTTTTTACTTAAAAAAAAAAAAAGAAAACTTTTGGGGTTATATCAATTTTTTATTTCGTTTGATCTTCCTTGCAAAAAAGCTCCTCGATTGTACATAGAGACAAAGTGACAAACAGCAAACTGCCATCTAAACAAAACCATACCATTTATTACTTTTCACTCAATCAATCACACACATACACACTTCTCTGCAACTGCTACACAGCCATCATTATTCCTTCACTCACTCTCTCACCCTCTGCTTTCGCCATTTTCACCTTTTTTACTACCTAATTTTCCGGGATTGGGTTCTACTGAATATAGAATTTTTAAATAAATTTATCTGGTGGGAAAATGAAGATGAAATATGTGTTGACGGAATTTAATTTTCGATATTAAATGACATTCTTTTATTAATTTTGGAACGAAATATGTGTTGACGGAATGGTTAAAGAGATTGGATAATTAATGCAGAATGCTTAATTATATGTCAAATTGTTCTATAGATTTTTTTTGGGAATGAAATTATTGGATAATTAATACACAATGTTTTATCAAATTTATGTTGGTTCTTATAAGCTTGAGCTATATCGCATTGTCTTTACTTGCATCTTCAATGAGATTATTTTTAACAACTAATTATTTTTATATATTAAATAATTAAATTTCAATCTTTCTGTTTTCATGTTTAAGTATTAATAAACGACATTGTTACAAAAATAATATTATTATATATAAAAATTATTTTTTATCAAAATGGTAAAATTAAAATAATGATGAACATTTGTTAGACTACCTAATAGTTACGATAGATAGCTATATTTTGTAATAAATATATGAATTTTATACTTGCATATCATACTCTAAATGATATAATAAATGAAAATATATATTTTTGTGAGAAAATATCATTGCCTACAATTAAGATAGGATATCAGTCTCATTTGTTTTAGAAATAAAAAGATTGCATTCCCAATTACCCCTCCCATCAAACAGTAAAATTCCCAAAATTTATACGACATCTGCATGAAAGAATTTAATTTTGTTCGCCTTTAAGGGTTATTATTATGTTACCCTATCTGAGGGACTGGAGCCCACTTAAATTTCCTGCAGTTAACAAAATCAAACTCCCGCAAGCAACCAATCAAATGATTCAAATCTACTGCGGTGAATTTAAATCTCAAAAGTGTTTTTAGTTTACCTTTTCAAATTAAAAATTATTCAATATTGGTAACTTGATGGAAATTTCACAAAATTGAATTTAAAATAAATACAACCACTTTGTCAAAATTTTGAAAAAAAAAAATATATATAAATCATTAGAAAGAACTACCCACACGGCAGGGGCGAAACCATGTGTATGGTTGGGATGGCGCCGGCCCCCCCAAAAAAAAAAAAAAATTCGAACTAGGGGTGAGGGATTTTGCTGGAACTGGAAGATTTTCCTTTGAGCGGGCATGTTGGGCCCTCCCCGATTTCATGCGGTGCATACATGGCCGAAGGGGCGCCACCGATTTTGTCGCGAAAATTTTGTTCACGTCGAACTGAAGGAATTTGGCTGGACAAGAAGAACTATAACAGCAGCAGAATTTAATATTTTTTTTATTTTTATTATATTTTGAGTTGGTTAATTAGCCGACTTGCGGTGTACCGACAGGACTAAAAAACCGAGTCGATCATTACCGAAAAATACTTTTATGAAAGTATGGGAAGCGGAGAGTGCGTTGGTGGCATCGATTTATGATTTTGAGCTCCCGACCATTTATTTTGGGTAGCCCGAAGTTGAGAGAAAAATGGCAGTGGCGGTGATTTTATTGTCATTTTCAAGTCTAGACTTCGGGTAACCGTCGGCCCTCGTTAGGCGTGCTGAAAATTAGCGGGAGTGCTTCCTTGAAAGCATGAGAAGAGTAGAAATCGTTCGTAAAATTTATTTCACATTTCGAAGTTTCGAGCATTTATTTTGAGAAGCTCGAAGTCGAGTGCGCATAATAGAAGAATAAAAAGCCGTTTTGCGGGGTTTCGTAAGGTTGCGTGTGATCTCGGTTTAACGAGAATCGAGTTGGAGCGTGTAGACAAGCACGATTCTATACGGACAAATTTCGCATTTTTCGAAGTTCCGAGTATTTAATTATGGGAGTTTGAATTTCTGCGTTAAATAGTATCAAAATGAGCAAATTGTGGTGGTGCGCCGCGGGATGGCCGGAGTGTGGGTGGTGCGCCGTGGGATGGCCGGAGTGGGGGTGGTGCGCCGCGGCAAATTGGGCCCTCCCCGGTATGACTGGCTGGTTTCGCCACTGCCCACACGTAGAGACTGGGATTTCAAACGAATTGATCGCCCGCATTGAGTCAAAGCTTCGCTTAAGCTCGAGCATCTCAAACTCGAACTCGAGCTTATGTGCTAAAAGTGTGCTTGAATACAAATTTGTATCCAAATTTTCAATCACTTTTAATCAATCCATCTATCTATCTAGAGAGAGAGAGAGGTAGAGAGAGAAAGAGAGGTTCATATGAAAATGATAGATAGTGAAGAAAATAAGAATAAAGTTGTACCATTTGATCCAACCATAGTTTTTAAACCCGGCCCAGTGATCGACTCGGGCAGGTCTTTGGGTCACCGGGTCAATTGCTGAACCGGATAATTAATTTTAAATTTTTTAAAATTATATATAGAGTATTTTTGTTATATAAATATACATAAAAGTAACAAAATTAAATGTTTTGTGTATAAAATTTGTATATTAAAGTGTTAATAATATGTATCTCATGATAAATATTTACCATATAAACATATATACATATTTTATTTTTAAAAAACAAAAAAAATAAAAAAAAATATAAAAACTATATATGGACCGGGTCAACCCCGCCTGGACGGTTGCCCGGCCGGGTCAATGCCCTGGGTCGGCCGGGTTTTGACCGAGTTTGACCGGGTCCTTGGTTGCCCGGTCCAAATACTCCACCTGGACCGGTTCCGGCTCCGGGTCTCAAAACACTAGATCCAACACATCAATGGTCATGATTCAGTCAAATTTTAAATGTGACAGTCAAACATGTAATGACAATTTCATAAATAAATGTACATTTTGTGGTCAAATATATATTTGACTACTCACTAAGAGTAAAAAAGACATTACACATTCACACTTGGGCCCACCACCAACCCCACTAACCTCACACTCTCTCTCATTTACACCTAAAACAACATTACACACACACACACACACATAGTAGCCCGTCGTCGTGTCTTAGCCGACTGCATCATGATATGGCTGCCGTCCTCCACTACTTCCCCTCCATTGCAGCTTCGTCGATTGCCGCTAATACTCCAGCAAGAGGCCCCGACAACACCACTCTGTAGAGGCCCACAGTATTGTCTTCGCCGACCGATTTGATGGCGGGCACAACTCGCAGGGAATGATTCTGTAATAAACTTGGGCGGCAGCGTGCAGCCCTCGAGACCGGCGTTCTTGAGCTGCGACGGATCTAGTTTGATCACATTTTATTATCAAATTAAAATTAGCATATCTTTGTACTTAATTTCTACTAAAATAGTTATTACGTACGGGTATAATTGACTTTAAAAAAATGAAGGAGTAACTATGAGAATAATTAGATGTTTAGCAAGAGTGCGTATGGTAATTTTCTCATGAAGTCACCCATTCCAAGAGAGAA